ATGCTAAGAACTGAAAGAAGGCAGAAGTAGAACTGCACTTAATCTGCAACTTCATCAGAGTGCTCAAATGTAATTTTGAATGGCTTGGGTCTCACCCAAGATTTCTCCTCTTTGATGACTGTATGCCTATCTGGTCTTGTATCATTTTTCTCTTTGTATATGATTTTTTATGATTTTCCCATAAATGCATTCTGTAGATACTCTAGTTTAGGCATGGACAAACTTTTTTTGCCTTGGGGCCTCATTATGGGTACGGTCAAGAGGATTGGGCCAGGCCTGGAGCTAGGCAAGTGGTGGGTGGGATGGGCCTGGGAGGGGGAGTACCTGGGTCATCTTCAGGTTGTCCTTTTGGCATAAGCACTGGGCTGCTCGCCCCATCCTTATGCCGGGAGAAAAACGAGACATGGGGCAACTGCCCCAATCCTCCTTCCCTGATCTTTGGGCTGTCCCCGAGCTTGAGAAGCAGGCGGGATCGAGAGCAGGGCCTCCCCGGAAGATCTCAAAGTCCTGGTGGGTTCATAGGCAGAGATGCGGTCGGATAGGTAGCTTGGGCCGGAACCGTTTAGGGCTTTAAAGGCCAACGCCAGCACTTTGAATTCAGCCCGGTAGCAGATCGGTAGCCAGTGGAGTTGGCGCAACAGGGGGGTTGTATGCTCCCTGCGCTCCCCTCCTGTTAAAATCATGGCTGCCGAGCGTTGGACTAGTTGGAGCTTCCGAGCTGTCTTCAAAGGCAACCCCATGTAGAGAGCGTTGCAGTAGTCTAAACGGGATGTAACCAGAGCGTGGACTACCATGACCAAGTCAGACTTCCCAAGGTATCAAATTGTTGCCAAGACATAAGCCCTTCTGAGTCCTCCTCTGGGGGTTGCTAGAAATAAATAAATAAATAATAAATAAATCAGAGGTTGTGAGGTCTGTTGGAAATTAGTCAAGTGAGGTCTATATATTTGTGGAACGTCAGGAGAAAATGCCTCTGGAACATGGTCACAGCAACCCAGAAATAGAGAACTTCCCAGTTTTTTTTTCCTGCTCCAACGCTAGAAAACTGCAGTAGAGAGATTATAGTCAGGATTCCCATTTGGTTTCACTCTTTCACTCCTTGTTGACTATTAGTGCAGTTAGTTCCTTTGCAGATTGGCTGGCTTGGTTTCACTCTCTCCCCCCCTCCATCCATCCCTTGCTGTTTTTTTTCCAAGCTCTGATGTCACAAGTTTTGTTTGGTTTCTTTCTTTTTTTCCCCTTCAAGCAAAAGGTTGTAAAACTTGTTTGAACACCAGGAAGGCAGGAGCGGAACCTTTGGAAGCTGACATTGCAAGCGAAGGCAGCGGGAGAAGGTAGGAACAGGGCAACAACCCAATCCTAATGTGTGTCTTTGACTGGTTTTTGGTGGTGGTGGTGGGGATACTGGTTCTTTCTTACGACCTTCGGAAGGGATATTTCACCATGTGACTGGCAGCTATCCATCCTAAAGGATCAGACTCCCAAAGTGTTCCTGCCTAAGTTGCTGTGAGTTTTCTGAACTATATTGCCATGTTCTAGAAGCATTCTCTCCTGACGTTTCGCCTGCATCTGTGGCAGGCATTCTCAGAGGTTGTGAGGACTATTGGGAGTTAGGAAAATGGGGTTCATATATCTGTGGGAGAAAGAACTCTTGTCTGTTTGAGGCAGTTGTGAATGTTGCAATTGGCCACATTGAATAGCATTGAATGGTCTTGAAGCTTCAAAGCCTGGCTAGTTGCTGCCTGGGGGAGTCCTTTGTTGAGAGGTCTTAGGGTGTCCAGGGTGGGAGAAAGAACTCTTGTCTGTTTGAGGCAGTTGTGAATGTTGGCAATTGGCCACATTGAATAGCATTGAATGGTCTTGAAGCTTCAAAGCCTGGCTAGTTGCTGCCTGGGGGAGTCCTTTGTTGAGAGGTCTTAGGGTGTCCAGGGTGGGAGAAAGAACTCTTGTCTGTTTGAGGCAGTTGTGAATGTTGGAGTTGGCCACCTTGAATAGCATTGAATGGTCTTGAAGCTTCAAAGCCTGGCTAGTTGCTGCCTGGGGGAGTCCTTTGTTGAGAGGTCTTAGGGTGTCCAGGGTGGGAGAAAGAACTCTTGTCTGTTTGAGGCAGTTGTGAATGTTGGAGTTGGCCACCTTTATTAGCATTTAATGGTCTTGAAGCTTCAAAGCCTGGCTGCTTCCTGCCTCCCTCCAAAGCATTTCCCCCCAGGCAGGAATCAGTCAGGCTTTGAAGCTCCAAAGACATTTAATGCTAATTAAAATGACATTATTAGATATATAAATCCATAGAGGTAGCGAAAAACGTACAGCAAACCAGTGATTTAGGCCATGTTAGCCTTCGATGATACATTGTTCCAGGCTAGCTTGAGAAAATGCTATTTTTTGGGTGGGACTACAATGCCTATCATCCAGAGATACCCAGGGATTCTGAGAGTTGAAGTCTGGAAGCACCTTCCAAACCAACCTATTTAATTCAGCAGCATACATTTCAGAGAGAAATAACCGCTTGAGTTTATTTTCAGTGTCAAAAGAAGAAACCTCTAAGCCAGGCATGTGCCAATTTGAGCCCTCCAGGTGTCTTGGACTCCAACTCTCACCATTCCTAATAGCCTCAGGCCCCCTGGACTCCAATTCCCACCATTCCTAACAGCCTCAGGCCCCTTGGACTCCAACTCCCACCATTCCTAACTGAGCGGGAAAAGGAAAGGGCCTGAGGCTGTTAGGAATGGTGGGAGTTGGAGTCCAAAACACCTGGCAGGCCCAAGTTGGCCCATACCTGCTCTAAGCTCTTCCTCTTCCTCAATTATTGATCATCCCACCTTTTTATTAGAGTCCAGATTTAGAGAGAAGTTTTTGTTTAATTCCAGCAACTTGGGCTGCTCCAGAGAACGTTGGGATTTGCAGTCCACAAAAAAGGATCTTGGTTGGGGATTCTGGGAGTTGCAGTGCAAAATCATAGGAAATCCTGGCTGGGGAGGAAGTGTGGGGGATGATGCAAAAGAGGGAGGAGAGGAGGAGGGACACCTTGGAAAACCAGGAAGGGCAAGGATAGAAAAACTGGGAAAGGTGCTATTGGCACCATCATCCACCAACTGAGGTCCTAAGGAAGAGGCTGGGAGAGAAGAAAGGATTGCGATTCCCGTCTTGGTGTGAAGTCAGGATTGATTGAAGCCTTGGCTTCAGAGACACACACACGCCCCTTTCTAACTTTCCCTAAGGAATAAAGGAATTGTTTCGGAAGGTAAGTGTGTGTCAAAAAAGGATGACCTTGGAAACATAAGGGGCTCCCAATGAGGATCTGTCTTCCTTAATAGTAAATAATAAGAGTTTGAGTCAGTTTTTTCCAGGTTGTCTGTTTTCTTTGCTGGTTTAGAGATTGGGTTAGAAGTCATTGTGATTTTTGGGGAGCGGGGAGATTTTGGGGGATCCACACTGCCCTATATCCCAGGATCCAATCTCAGATTATCTGCTTTGAACTGGATTATATGACTCTACACAGCAAGATACTACACTGGAATACTGTGTCCAATTCTGGGCATCACAATAGAAGGGAGATGTTGACAAGCTGGAATGTGTCCAGAGGAGGACGACTAAAAGGAGCAATGGTCTGGAGTACAAGCCCTATGAGGAGTGGCTTAAAGACCTGAGCATGTTTAGCCTGAAGAAGAGAAGGCTGAGAGGAGACATGATGAAAGCCATGTATAAATATGTAAGGGGGAACTCATATAATGCACTTTCCCCCGTCCTAAATTGAAGACCTAACCACATTGTTCGTCCTCTCAAATACACTTTTTCTACTCCTACCTCATCCAGGGTTTTATCATTTTATCTTGTCCATTTGGCCTGCCCATTGTGTTCGATTTCCTATTATGCTATTTTGCTTTGTTTATTTTATTTTGCCACTGTATGTACTTTATTGTGATGTAATTTCTGTTGTTGTATTTTGCACTTTATTTTGCTGTGTTGTATCTTCGGCCTTGGCCTCATGTTAGCTGCCCCTAGTCCCCTTTGTGGAGATAGTTGCGGAGTATAAATAAAGTTTATTATTATATATTGTTGAAGGCTTTCATGGCCGGAATCACTGGGTTGTTGTAGGTTTTTTTCGGGCTATATGGCCATGTTCTAGAGGCATTCTCTCCTGACGTTTCACCTGCATCTATGGCAAGCATCCTCAAAGGTAGTGAGGTCTGTTGGAACTAGGAAAATTGGGTTTATATATCTGTGGAATGACCAGGGTGGGACAAAGAACTCTTGTCTGTTGGAGTTAGTTGTGAGTGTTTATTATTATAAACTAGCCATCCCCTGCCACACGTTGCTGTGGCCCAGTCTGGTGATCTGGAAAATAAAGTAATGGTTTCTAATATATGTGATTCCTTTATGCTTGTGGGTAAGCAGTATTCTTTGTTGTTTCTAAGTCAACGCTGATGTGGAGATTGTCTGGTTTGTCTACTCTGGAACATGTGACATATAATTGTCCTTCTTTAGGGGTCCCTTTCAAATCTATGATACTATATCTCTCTCTGTGTGTGAATCATATATCTATCTATATCTATGGCTGGATGGCTCTTTGTCAGGAGGGCTTTGATTACATTTTCTTGCCCTGGTGAAGGGAGTTGGATTGGATTGCCTTAAGTATTTTTTCTTGGTCATGAGGGTTCTGTGTGGGAAGTTTACTCCAATTCTGTCATTCAGAATGCTCCTTGATTTTAGGTGAACTATAAATCCCAGTAACTACAACTCTCAAATGTAAAAGTCTATTTCCCCAAAACTTCATCAGTGCCCACATGTGGGCATATTGAATATTCATGCCAAGTTTGGTCCAGATCCATCATTGTTTGAGTTCACAGTGCTCTCTGGATGTAGGTGAACTACAACTCCCAAACTCAAGGTCAATGCCCACAAAACCCTTCCAGTGTGTTCTGTTGGTCATGGGAGGACTGTGTGCCAAGTTTGGTTCAATTCCATCATTGGTGGGGTTCAGAATGCTCTTTGATTGTAGGTGAACTATAAATCCCAGCAACTACAACTCCCAAATGACAAAAGCAATTTTTTGAGTGAAGGACATACATTGGGTTGTTAGGTGTCTTGTGTCCAAATTTGGTGTCAATTCGTCCAGTGGTTTTTGAGTTCTGTTAATCCCACAAACGAACATTATTTATATAGAAAATTGTATTGTTGAAGGCTTTCATGGTGGAATCACTGGGTTGTTGTAGGTTTTTTCGGGCTATATGGCCATGGTCTAGAGGCATTCTCTCCTGACGTTTTGCCTGCATCTATGGCAAGCATCCTTAGAGGTAGTGAGGTCTGTCGGCACTAGGAAAAAGGGTTTATATATCTGTGGAATGGCCAGGGTGGGACAAAGAGATCTTGTCTGTTGGAGATAGGTGTCCGTGTTTATTATTATAAATAAAGTTTATTATAGGGAAGATGGAGAAAGCTTTTTTTTTTTGCTGCCCTGGACACGTGACAATGGCTTCAAACTACAGGAAAGGAGATTCCACCTGAACATTGGGAAGAACTTCCTAACTGTGAGAGCTGTTCAGCAGTGGAACTCTGCCCCATGAGTGTGTTGGAGGCTCCTTCTTTGGAGGCTTTTAAACAGAGGCTGGACAGCCAGTTGTCATGGGTGCATTGAATGCAATTTTCCTGCTTCTTGACCAAATGGGGTTGGACTGGATGTCCTATGAAGTCTCTTCCGACTCTGTGATTATATGAAATGATTAAATCAGTGACTTTGGAAAAGTTAACACTTTCCAACCACAGTTCCTAACTGGTTGGGGATTATGAGAACCAAAGTTGGCAAAAATAATTTCCCCCAGCTCTGGGAAAAAAGAAATGACGAACATTTGATTCTCATTTTTTCCCCTGACCAAAAAGAGGAATTAAATGCTAGGTTTCAGATTGCGGTGCGGTCTGGAAAGCCCAGAAAAGAGGGCTGGATTTGTGGTGCTTCAGAAAGTTAGGTCCTGGGAGAATAGAAACGGGTTGTTTTAAGGAAAGTAAGGGACTTTTTCTTTTAATCCTGAGAGTTCCTGGAAATGCTAACTTCTGTGCCTATATGTGTGTGTGTGTGTAGGGGGAAGGGTAGTTTGCAAAGGTGAAAGAACAAGAAGTGTTGGCTGGTGCAGGGAGAGAAAGAGGTCAATGGTGTTTCACCATAAGGAAGTGAAGCTGGAATGGAGCCAGGCTCAGGTCTTTCCAAGTTGTTTTTGTACCAGGTCACTGCAGCCACACTTTTGTACCTCGCTCTCTCTCTTTCTTGTTTGACTGGTTTTGGAAAACAGCCGAGCAAAGTCGTTTCTTCCACTGCTGCTTTGCGGATAAGCCGTAATTA